TTCACTCCACTTGTCAAAGTCCTTTATATATATTTTGAATGTATAATCACCCATATAAGTGCCAACAAAAGTAAATAAACTTAAGTCCCTTGCTATTATTTTACTTTTTAGTAGAAATATAAGATTTTGAATTTAAATAATATAATATATAATGTTGTTATTAATCATTAATTATATTTAAATAATTAATTTAAATAATGTAATTAAATTTTATCAATAAATGATTAATAACTATTATTATTATAATCTAAACATTATAATCCCTCTAATTAGATTAAAAACTGAGGGATATTTCCAAAAAGTTATAAACATACAAGTATCCCAAAAAAGTTTCACATTTCTATAATTAAATAGAAATTCAAATTTGCATCTTCATTAGTGATATATGGCTCAGCTCGTGACTCCAAATCCAAGTTGTTTAAATTGTGGGGAGTAAAGGGAACAAGAGTTACAAGACAAAATAGATTTACAGCACCCAAACCATGATATTGCCTTGGGCAAAAAGACCACTCCGTGAACCAAAGAAAAGGCCATGACGCTGATATAACATATATTCCCACAAAAATGAACGCAAGATCTCTTCAAAGTGGCACATCCAAAGATAAGAAGAAGAAAATACAGTGTTTTGTGGGCATTGGTACAATTTCTACTTAGAATTTGTGCGCATGGAACAGTAGCACTAAGGAAAAGTTCATTAGTGCTCCAAAAACAACAAAAACTATCCAATTTCAATTTTAGGCCTTTTTCTTTTAATCCCACATGTGTGCTAAATGTGCGCATGCAAGCATCTATGGCGGCTAAAGGAAGTCTTGTTTCATGCCCATAAAATGCATATTCCCCAAATCACATGGACCCAGTAGGGTCACTCTGTCTAAAAAACAAAATGAAGAGCAGAATCAAGGGCTGAACTTTGTATGCCAAGAAGTTAGGGCACACACACTAGATGATGTGTAGTTGCATGGGACCAGGCTAAGGTGGTTGTCGGGACTATAGCACGATTTGAACTTGATGTAGTGGGACCAATCATGGAGCTTAGGGGATGCATGATTTGGGGTCATTGCTATGGTTTTAAAAGGTGACTTGTGGGACCAAATTTTCCAATTAGAGATTAATATTCTATCTTCTTCATTCTTCTTTTCTAGTTTTCTTCCTCCCTTTTACAAGATCCTTTCCTTCGTCCCTTGGACATTCTTCTAACTTTTTGTTTGGGTTTTAGGCTTTTGTCTAAAATATCATAGCTATATATTTGATACATAATTAAATTAATAAATTTATCTACATAAATAAGAAGAAATCATCATGTGACTTATTATAATGATTGATTTTTTATAATTAACTAACAATTCAATTATTTTTGAGATATGAAATTGTTATTGACTTGTTACATTTACAATGACATAACATAATTATGATAAAAAAAGACTCTTTATAAAAGGGTATTAAAGATTTGATTTGAACAATTAGAGTATATTATAGTGGGGAAGTGGATTGACTCATTTTTTCGTGTTTGTTGTGCGAGAGAGACATTAGGAGATGTGGGTTTTGTGTAGTGAGGTTTGGTGGGTGCGCGTGCAGCAGCTGAAGAGGTGGGATTGTGGTCATAATGGAGGCTGCCTGCCAGCCCACCTCGCAGAAGATTATTCATCACAACCATACATTACATTCTGATCAAGAATCATTTCCCTGGCTCTTGCCCCCTTAAAAAACCAAAATTTGACTCTAAACCTCACCGTTTTCCATCATTGCATTTCTATCCTTTCATCTATCTTTCGTCTGCTTATGTATTTTCTTTCCATCTCCTCATCTACCTGTCTATTCTTTCTACATACTTCACAGGGTCTTGATTGATTTTGTTAAGTTATTATTGTAATCTTGAATTAAAAGCCAAGGAGAGTGCCGACCCAACAACAACAACAAACAAAAAAAAAAAAATTTTGAAAACAAAGATTTCACATCTTTAGAAGTCAAAACTCGAAAATAAGGGCATAAAAATTCATTGAATTTCGAATTTAGGGTATAAACTTTGATTATTTTGAAATAAAGACACTATCATTTCCATAAATTGAAAGTGAAGATAATGTGGATGAAAAATAGACACATGACATTTTATAAACTAAAATTAAAGCCTTATTTTATGTCAGATAATAACTAAATTGCTAACTCAACTAATAAAGGAAACCAATTTTTGTAAATGTTAGATGTTAATTTTCCATTCTAGTGTCCCTTGTTTTTAACTAATGCAGAGATTATATCCTTATTTTCAATTAATGCAAATTCTGTCTCTTTTATTTCATAATGTTTAAAGTCCTACCCTCAATTCAAAACTCAATAAAATTTTATGTCCTTGTTTTTGAATTTTGCCTCTTAAGAATAGACTCAACCAAAGAGTTTTAATTCCTAAGATGAGATTTCAAGAATTAGTTTTATATATATTCGGGCATAGGCGCTTGGAGACGTGAAGAAATCACATACACATATAAGGATTTTCAATTCCTCAATGGTGAAAGTTAGTATACCACTTAAAAATATTTTAATTAGAGGTCAATATTACAACTTTTATTTAAGTGGTGAACTCTTAACATATTAAAAATGCACAATATTTAAAAAAATTTAAGAGGTGTCCTTTTTTTCTTTTTAAACTAATGCTATCTATGATGAGAGAGGTAGTTTAAACCAATTACGAAACTACTTCCAAAAGCCAACAAAGCACTAATTACACACCTCCATTTTCAATAATATATGTTTATCTTTTACTACTACCCAACCTCATCCCCATTAAAGCTAACAAACATTTGAAGTTCAAAACTAGTACCACAAAATGCCTAACATTTACTTGAAAATGGTTAAGCAAAGAAAAGATTAGACAACATATGATGATTAATGGCATAATTTAACCTTTTCAGAGCTTAATTGCTGTCTTAGAAGATGAAACAACCCTTGTTTTGAAACAGGAAATTTGGATTAAGATTAAAACAGAGTTGAATGAAGAAGAATGATGATGATTTTGTACTGAGTCACCGATGAAAATCTTCAAAGGAAGAGATTTAAAAAATAAAAAAATAAAAATGATGTGGGTATTGCTTTTCATTTTCATGTTAGGGGGCCTCCCTAATTCATGGATATTCTCATTATTTACTTCCCACGCCTGATTCCTTCTTTTGTTTTCTTGTATTTTGTTTTCTCTGCTCTGTCTCCATAATTATCATTATTTTCCCTTGTAATATTGATGATATTTGGGGCACGTCTGGCTTTTCCAGAATAAGTATCTGACTATCTGTAATGTTTGGACAAGACAAACCTGTCCATTGTACCTGTTCCTTCCCATGTTTTTATCCAATGTTGTACTCAACTCAATCTTTACCAACGCAGTAAATTCTGCTAGGGTAAATCCGTTGTAGAATCGTTGAACTATGAATTTATACAAAAATTATTAAATTAAAAAGTTTAAGAGTAAAAATTTTTTTTAAAAAAAAAAAAAAAGGTTTGGAATTTCTGTTCCATTTAAACAAAAAATTTCTAAAAACAGGGGAATTAACCATTTGCTCTGTTTCAATTTTGTTCTGTTTTCCCCTGTTCTTACTTGAGAACATCTATAAACAGGAGATTACGCATCCTAGTCATATCTAAAGATGTTATTACAGTGTTGCTGATGATTGTTGTCATGTAAAGAAACAGTTTTGGTCCATTCCATGATTATGTTTTTTGTGTTTCAGAACCTGTCATGCCAATCTGTTAAGATGATGAGAATGCTCTGTTCTGAGTTTTGACCAAGAAAATAAGAAATTTTGCCTTTTTTTTTTTTTAAATTAACTTTTAATATTCAATAATCACATTAGATCAAATCACATAAAGTGAAAGTTCTCTCGACATTTGATTCTTCATTTATACTTAAATTTAATATTTCACTTCATGAAAATCGAATTCTTTCCATTCAAATCAATTAATGGTTGGTTTTTATCCTTTTTTTTTTGGAGCTTTTACTGTTTTACATTTTTTTTTAATTAAAATAACGAATTACCCTGAAAAGTTTCCAATGATTTGATCTAATCCATGCTGAAAAACTCCAATTCTGGACCCTAGAAAACGGTATCATTTGGTTTTGTCACATCAGACTAACAAAGATATTAATGGGATATTCCAGATTTGGTTTTCCTTTCTAAAAACAATATTGCTTTTCATTCAGTACAAGAGTAAGTAAAGATAAATATTACAACCAAAATAAAAGTATTGTGTGGTATAAACTACACAGTATTAATTATATTAGCATAATATGAAATATTAAATAAGGCAAATATTTGCCTCTTAAAAGAATTTTGAGACAAATTTTTTCAAATTAATGGTCATATATTTTTATTTTGCTGTTTGAATTGTAAGGATTCTACAGTAAATACTAAATACAATATTGCTTTTAGCTTCTGGCTTTTGGCTTCTGTTCCAATATGCCATTGAATAAGACTGTTAATGCTCTGTTTCAAGTCTTTGGACTTAATTATTCTCTCTTTTTTTTTTCTATTATTCTGAGCTTCAACTGTTCACTAATTCTTTTAGGCGAAAGAATAACACACACAAATTAATGGGTGTCTAAAGATTTGATTTTTCTCTTCCAAAGCAGAAAATTTGTTTTTTAGTTTTTGGCTTTTGGCTTCGACCAGTGCTAGTCTTTATGGGTACTCAATGAGTAATGGAAGAAATATTGATTGGGAAACTGACACTGGACTAAGGCAGAGTAAGTGCATGACAATTACCTAAATTTGCATGCGCGTGGGTTTATATGAATCCCATTTCACCGCTCCACAGATTTTGCTTCATTTTCATTTCAAACAAACACCATACATATCATCATCTTATTCACTTCATTATGCCTGCAATCATGATTCTTGGTTGCCTCACCCGCATGCCCCCTCTCCTCTTCCCCCTCTCCCTTTCTCTCACTGTCCCTTACTTTCTCTACCCCTTTCTCCCCCACCTATAAATCCCTTGTCCCTCCCCCTTCTCTCTCCCACCTGTAGTTCTCCTCCTCCATTTCCCTGGTTAAAGTTTCAATCTTTTTCACTTCCCCTGTTCTAGGTTTCAATGGCGGTTTCTGGGTTTGAAGGGTTTGAGAAACGCTTGGAGCTCCATTTCTTTGGGGATGACCCGGTGAAGATGGGTCTCCGGTTGATGGATTTTGGGTCATTAGAGGAAGTATTGCATGCGGTGCAATGCACCATAGTCTCTGCTGTGGGGAACCGTTTCTTTGATGCGTACGTTCTATCAGAATCAAGCCTCTTCGTTTACCCCACCAAGATCATCATCAAGACCTGTGGCACCACCCAGCTGTTGAAATCCATCCGTCCATTGATCCATCATGCTCGGAAGCTGGGGCTCACCCTGTGCGGGTGCAGGTACACCCGCGGCAGCTTCATCTTCCCCAAGTCGCAGCCTTTCCCCCACACCAGTTTCAAGGAAGAAGTTATTTACATCGAAGAAACTCTCCCCGCTCACCTCTGCTTCCGCAAAGCCGCCATCATGCCGTCGAAGCTTCCCTCGCACTCGTGGCACGTCTTCTCTGCCGGCGATGAAACCCACTACCCCTCCGATGTTCCGTATACTGTGGAAGTCTGCATGACCGAGCTCGATCGGGTTCTCGCCAGGAAGTTCTTCCGCCGACCCGGGGATGGGAAGAACGGCGACTCTGCGGGAAAGGACATGACCCAGGTCACCGGCATTGACAATATAAACCCGGGCTCAATCATCTGCGATTTCGCTTTCGACCCGTGCGGATACTCCATGAACGGCATTGACGGCGATCGTTACTCCACGATTCATGTCACCCCGGAGGACGGCTACAGCTACGCGAGCTTCGAGTGCGTGGGGTCATTTTACGACGACAGCGACGACATCATACAAGTCTTGAAGAAGGCAGTTCAAGTCTTCCGGCCAGCGACTCTATCAGTCTCAACTACGTGCACCAGCCACGATGTCTGGACGCGAGTGGCCCGAGCCCTGGAGCCAGTCGGGTTGAAGTGTAGGAGCTGCGTAATGGACGAGTTTCCAGCGGCGGGAAGCATAGTGTTTCAGACATTCACTACTCGCCGGAAGTATACCGGTAAAGAAAACGACGACGATCGTGGAGGTAGATAATCTCGGGGGGGGAGGGGATGCCGGAGGGTGAGAGAGGGGTTAAAATTAAATTAAATTAAACACTGAAATGAAAAAAGGGATAATTAGGAGAAATTAAGTGTAAGCAAATTTTTAGTGTGACGAGGACGCGATGATGATGTGGAGGGATGTAATTGGTTGAGAAAGGTGATGAATGTGGGGTTGACCTGGGTAGAGAGATGATCATGATAATGCATCCCACTTAGGCATGTCACGCCTAAGATTTTTGAGGTTATGTAGTGGGGGGTTGAAGATAGAAAGTGCTCATGTTTTTTTCTCTTTTTTTTGGAAAATTTATATGAACTTTTTCTATTTTGTTTATTTTTTGTGTAACATGTTCTAATTGTCTTACTCTTCTTCTTCTTCTTCTCTCAATTTTTCGGATCAAACTCCATGCAATTTTTTTAGTTCCAACTGTTATGCTAAATACAGGTAAGTAAATGATAATAAACTCAATAAAATTAAGAGGATGATCGAATGGTGCCTATTGGTTAATTTTGCATGAGACATATTCAGGCGGTTTCATGAACTTATTTTTTCCACTACAATAATTTTGTTATGAGGTTGACGTGGAAGGCAAAACTTTCTTGTGATGCAATTTAGAACAGTATATTTAATAATTTAGAATAACATATTTAATAATAATGAGTTATATAAGAGAAGATAATATTTATTTTTTTTAAATCATTCCTTGTTAAATTTAAAATTTGAATTTGAAGTTTTAATATTTTAACCATTAAACTATTTTATTGGAAGTTATCTAGAATAATGTATTATTATTTTTTAAAAAAAATTAAATAATAAAATATAATTTTATTTTATTTTTTAACTTTCTTCACTCACATGATTATGGTGTTGTGGTGTTAGGTAACATAATTTGCATGTTTATTATAAAAATGAAATACTACTATTGATTTCGTACTTGTTTCCTGCTAGAAACTCAATTTTGGTTTCCATATACAGCAATTTTCAAATTTTGCAATGGCGGGTCTGATGCTGAAACGAAGGAAGTGTGTTCGATGAAGGATTCCCCGTATTAGGTTAAATGGATTGTGACTTAGGTTGGGCTGGTTTTAAACATACGAAAGCTATTTTGGGCTTAGGTCAATTTTGGCATGGGCTGAAGTTATATAGTCCTATGGATATCCAAATTTGTACTACAGTCAATAACACTGGCTTAAAAAAAAACTTTGTTCTAAATCAATTGTCGTTTTTATATTTTAAAGAACACAAATATATATATTTTTATATTTGTTACACAACAAGAGGCAATTATCTCACATCCTTTATCCCACCTTAGCCATATGTCATGTGATTCGAAATCAGAATCTCTTATTTTCAACAGAAGGAAATTATCACTGAATTATTTAAGTCGTTAGCATTTTTTTTTAATTTTAAACTTATTTTTTGAAATAAAGTAAATTTTATTTACAAATATGATTTATTAATAATATTTATTGACGAAATGATACCATAGTGGCAGTTTTATTGAATTTTTTTCACTTAACCAAACATATAAATTGATATGTATACATTCACTTGATATCATAAGATTTTCCTTCATTATCATTTTATATATACATGGAGATAGCTAGCCATATGTTATTATATCTATATATATATATATATATAAAATGCTATCCTATGCATTAAATAGGGTAGCATTTTATATTTACACCCCCCAACATTAGCCCACCCCATTTCCATTGGTATTTATAATCAAGACAGTGAAATTAAATCTATGAAAACAAATAATTATATTGTAATGCTTAAAATTTATGAAAAATAAATGTATAAAATTGTAATACATTACATAATAAGTATTTGTGTGGTTACAATTTTTTTTAGTCTTTTAATTTTTTTTTTATGTGCAATGCCCTTCTATTTTCCTCATTATATACAATTATTTTACCTTATCCTGTTCTTTTCTTTCATTATTAATTTCCGTTATATATATATTAAATCATAAAGGAGAAGGGATAGAGATACAC